AGGCAATTCTCCTGCCTCAGCCTCCTGAGTAGCTGGGACTACAAGCACGCCTCACCATGCCCAGCTAATTTTTTGTATTTTTAGTAGAGACGGGGTTTCACCATGTTGACCAGGACGGTCTCGATCTCTTGACCTCATGATCCACCCGCCTCGGCCTCCCAAAGTGCTGAAATTACAGGTGTTAGCCACTAAAGTAGATTTCTATTAATATAAATAGGCCTCCAAGATATTTTAAGTGATAAAAGTAAGATGTAGGACAATACATAGAAAGTATTCTACCAACCACAGTTTTAAAACTACATATATATATAAAATATATATATTATGTATAATTTAAAAATTATATATATATTTAAGCAGTTGTTTTTCTGTGGAAGGTGACTGCAGACCTAGGGTTCTGGGGTAGGAGGCAGATAATTCATTGTTCCTCATTGCCCATTTGTTTGAATTATTATTATTTACTATGTGCAAGCATACATTTGGAATAATAATACAATCTCAGGGCCTAAGTCTTACTCTAGACACCCTACTTAGAGCTGGTCCAGCTGAATTACTGTCGGTACGCAGTTTAAGGACCCTGCTGTAATGTTTTGAGTATACTGATTTAAACACCTGGTAGGTACAGAGAGCTGAGACCTGCAGTAAGATAAATCGACACACATGTATCTGGCGTCCAGAAAGGAGAGAACACAGAGGAAGACCTTGTGGTTTCCAGCCCTCCTGGTCCAAGTCATACTTACCTCTGTGGACTTCCAGCTGCACGGGGTCACTTAGCACTGAGAGACCTGTCTGGCACCTGTATTCACCACTGTCGTTGACACTGGCAGAGATGATGCTGTAGCTGGGGGTCGAGGTCTGAGTGGCTGTACCGTTGAGAAACCACTGTGTGGCGCTGTTCCCAGGCACATGCGGCCCCACACACTGTAATATTACAGTTTCCTCTTAGAACACGCTGGCCCGTGGTGGCTGCAAAGTGATCACTGCCTTTGTGGGGTCTACCTGGAGATTAAAAGAAGAAAAAGAAAAAGATCAAGTGGAGTAAAAGGGAGGGCTCTAGGCAACTGGTAAGGCTTTTTGTGGATGGCACAAGGGAAAAATACATATTTAGATTTATTTGAAAAACAGGCGAGTGGAAACCTACAAAAGCCAGCCTTTAAGAGTGTTCAACTCCTGCTGCAGAGACTTCTGCCCGTGTTATTAAATCCTCATCTGGGTGTTGGGAATTTGGGGCTCCTGAGGATTAAATTACTGATGTAGGTTTTTCTGCTGGGAGCAATGAAGCAGGCTTTTAGACTTGGACAAGCTGTTTTCCTTATCCTCTGAGCTACACTGTCTCTGAGAGTACAGCGCAGGTCAGCAGCTTCTGCACTGGAAACGGAGGTTGAAACTCTTCTCTTTGAAACCTTCAGTACTTGCCTGGCTCTTTCTGAGGAGGAAAAAAACCCACTCATCTTTCTTGTAAAGGGTACTGGTTTCCCAACATCCCATTTGTGCAATTCTGGCCCTTTCCTGCTGTTATATAGACATTTAGGCATTTCATTTAGAGGAAAGAGCTCATTCAGAAAACTTTCAAATGAGATCTTAAAAATCACAGTTCTTATGAAAATCATAGTCTGAACATGGGAGATTTTGCATAATTTGTAAATCTTTCTCCTTTCTCTGCTTTCCCTATATGCTCTTCTTCAGGTTAATAGGACCCATCCTTTGGAAGTAGAAAAATGGCATAGAAGCAGAGCTGGAGATCACTCACCCACTTGCCCATCAAATGGAACTGCAAGAGATCAGAGAATAAAGATACCAGTTGGTCCAGGGAAAATGATGAAGAAGAGAGAATTTGGAAGACAGAATTAATGTAGACTCTGAGGGATCAGCTTAGGTCTTTTGAGTTTCTATTCCCTTTCTCAAAATTAAGTACTAATGTGATATTGTGCTGGCCTAGAGCCAGAACCAGAGCAAAACTATTTTATAAAATGCAAAACTGTTTTTAGATAAGTTGAAATGGCTGCCCCATTCTCCTTACAATAACTACTGTCGTTGGCCTCTGTAAATAGAACTGCTAGTTTGTTCTTCAAAACTATGTAAAGCTGCTTACCTTTTCTTATCAGTAACTGCCAGAATTGCTAGCCTTTGCTTACCAGCAATTGCCAGACTAAGCAGCCCAAGCTAGTTCCATCCTGGCTCCTGTGACTTGTAATAAGTAACTAAGGTCTGTGATTTCCACCTTAACCAGATAATGTGTAAACAAATGTTTATCTTGACTTCTGTAAACCACTTAAGTAACAAACGGAATGACAAAAGTCCCCTGGCCCTTGGAATGCCCGGAGACCCCCACCCTCATCTCTGCCCAGGAGGTAATTTACAGAATCCACTAGCCCTCGGAATGTCTGAAGCCTTTTCATCCCCATCCCTGCCCCTCACCCCCAAACCCAAGGTGGTTTTTTGGGTATAAAAAAATCGTGGCACCCTCCTGTTGCGGCCGCAGGTTGGAGAGATGTGAGTCCTCTGTGGTCGCCGGCATAATAAATGACCCTGCAATCTGGCATACTTTTGTCTTGTGATAACTTTCTACGCTCCGGTCAAATACAACACTAACAGAACTGAACAAGCTGCAGATGGTGATCAATGAAACGTTACTGTGGTGCTTCCAGACTTAATGCTCCTCAGGGCCTCCCTTCCCGTCCTTTTGATAAAATAAGCTCTGATAAACCATGGAAGCACAGACACAGCTGTCTCCAGACTCAGGAATTCTACCCAGAGTTACCACAGCAAGACAAAACCCTTGACTCCCCACAGCCACAGCCTGTACCCTTCTAACCATCCGCTCTGAGTCCAACTTACCCCAAAGGAGCAGAACTGTCAAGAACCACATGTTATCTTCAAGCTGGTGGGAGCAGTGAAATCTGTAACATGTCAGATATTGAAGAGGTTCTGCTGGGGGCTCCGGAGCCAAAGTAGAAAAGAGAAAGGAAATTGCCTCTTCTGAACATTTTCATCATGTTCCTTTTTTGAGAAATACATCTTGAATTCATGAAACATGGTTTCCCCAATTCTCATACCTCTTAGCCCACCTCTCCCAGTTTGAAGCTCTGACTTTTAGGTTATGAACTCTCAGAATCCAGGGAAAAGGCTGAAGTTTTATTGACCTTCTATTCTGATTATCTTTTCCTTCTACCATTTCTGTTTCTTAGGGTTAGAATATGGCAAAACCTCACTTTTAAAAATTGGTTCAATGCCTGGGTAATGTTGCCAAATGATCATTCAAATCCAGAAGTTTCTATGTCAGCCTCTATGAGGCCATGGGAAAAGTTACTCATCTATGAGAACTGCCCTAATACAAACCACCCTCTGCTCCTCTGGGGAACACAGACAGGATCAATCTCCCATTTTTGTTAAAAAAGAAAACAAACTCTCTTCCTGAAAGATGTCATGAATTTGGAGTGTTTATTTTGGCTAAATCCAAGGAAATTAAATGTTTAATGTGGATGCTATAGAGGAAAAAAATAACTCTTGTACATGGATAGGAATATCCTCAAGAAGAGAGTTTCAGAGTACAAGTGGGGAGCTCTGTGCCGCTAAACTGAGGTGGTTTCTGAGACAGACTTGTAACCCTATAAAAAGACTTTTAGCTGTGGTAAGAGAGAGAGCTGAACAAAGCGGGAGTGCAGAGAGACTTGGGTGGCAATCCTACTGGCAGAGAATGAAAACTGATGGCAAATCATGCTGTAGGTTGACATACTGGCCCCAGGTTCTCACCTCTCCCTGAATCGACACTCTCTCCACAGCCTCATAAATGTACCTCTCTGACTCTTGACAGTGGCTCATCATGCAGCTTTCATTGGCCGGTGAAATATGAATGAAAACGACATGGTGCTAATTTCAAACTTAGCACTTAGGAAGGAAGCTTCACACATTATCTCTCACCCTCTTGTTCTCCTGCGATTGCTGAGACAGGATCATGTTTTAGCTAGCCAGCCCCAGTACGAGGCAGAACTGCCCTGGACATTGTAGCTTGACGTGCAGCTGCCTCACCTGCCCTGCAAACCTGTGAGTGAGAGCTAAACGCTTACCATTATGTGCCACTGAGATATTAAGATTGTTACACAAACAATAGCTGACTGATGCAAATGAAAAGCAAGGAAGACAGGCTGGGAAGAATCAGGTGTTCTGAAGAGATGAGAGAAGCCTTAGCTTGTTGAAATTTATGTTCAAAGCCTGTATTTGTTAATTATTTTACTATTTTGTCTCCAAAGTTTTCAACTGCATGCATGTACCATAATTTATTTCATCAACTTCTGTTCATGAACATGTAGGTTATATTTAATTTTTTACTGTATGATCAGTAAAAAAGACTGTTTACTACCATTGATAGTCCCGTGTCTACCTTTAAACATTTGACTTACTGCTTCCTTGGAACACATTCCTAGAATCAGCAGTGCTTACTCAAAGGAAATGTACATTTTTTTACTTTGGATAAGATGCTATCAGATTGTCTGTGATCATTGTCCTCATCACTGAAAAAATTTTAGAGTGCTTATTACATGCCAGACAAATACACTTGATGCATGTTTTCTTATTTAAGCCTCACAATAATCTGTGAGTAGACAATAGTATCTGCATTTTACAAATAATACATCTAGTGAAAGAGGAGATCAGTAATTTGTCCAAGGTTGTGAAAAGCAGAAGCAGGATTCAAAACCAGACAGTTTGATTTCCTTTATGTACTCACCAAGGGAGTAGAACAGTGCCCACCCCATCCCTTACAATTCCTGCTTTGTAGGAAAATAGCTGCTTCCTTGAAAAATAAGTGAAATCATTTCATTGACCAAGATAATATGAGGGAATGAGGATTGTTGTGTAAGGGGAATGTAAGATCTATAACCTGGAAGGATAAACTACTTTGTTTTTCCAATAAATAGCTGTTGTTTCCAAATGTTGAGGAAATAGCCATTGATGGAGGTTTAAATTCATGTGAGAAGAGCTAGAAAAATGGAGCAAACATAGAATGCACGCAGAGCAGTTTTCTAGCATTTGATGGACAATGAAAATCATGCTCTCTTCTCACATATTATAATTTTTTTCTGTTTTCTTGCCTTGGGTATGTCTTTAGCTCTGTTCTCACTTATAAGCGGAGCTGAGCGATGAGAACGTGGACACATGGTGGGGGAACAACACTCTGCGGCTTGTTGGGTGGGGCGAGGTGAGTGAGAGTATCAGGAAGAACAGGTAATAAATGCTGGGCTTAATACCTAGGTGATGGGTTGATCTGTGCAGCAAATCACCATGGCACACATTCACCTACGCAACAAACCTGCACATCTCGCACATGAACCTCAGAACCTAAAATAAAAATGGATGGAAAAAAATCATGATGCTTACAAGAGCCATTAGGAGAATTTACATCCATATATGACATTTGTATTCCCATATGCTGATCCTTTTTTTATGCATATATTGTTATTTTCTCTCTTTTTTTTATACTGATACTTTTATAATGCCATCATACTCATAGGCTTCCTTTTTTAAAAAATCACTTTACAGGCCAGGCGCGGTGGCTCACGCCTGTAATCCCAGAACTTTGGGAGGCTGAGGCGGATGGATCACGAGGTCAAGAGATCGAGACCTTCCTGGCCAACATGGTGAAACCCTGTTTCTACTAAAAATACAAAAAATTAGCCGGGCGTGGTGGCACATGCCTGTAATCCCAGCTACTTGGGAGGCTGAGACAGGAGAATCACTTGAACCCAGGAGGCGGAGGTTGCCGTGAGCCGAGAATGCGCCATTGCACTCCAGCCTGAGCAACAAGAGGGAAAGTCTCAAAAAAAAAAAAAAAAAATCACTTTACAAATACAGCTTTCTCAAGGGTAGATGCAAAGTCTTATTTGCCAATTTTAACAAAAATTGCTGTCTTCTCTGCTACAGCAAATGATTTATGAATAATTATTTGATATGTTTTTTAAAAGATAAGATAGGCTGGGTGCAGTAGCTCATTCCTATAAGCTCAAGCTCAACACTTTGGGAGGCCAAGGTGTGTGGATCGCTTGAGCCCAGGAATTTGAACTGACTGGGCAACATGGAGAAATCCCATCTCTACTAAAAATAAAAAGAATTACCCGGGCGTGGTAGTTCATGCCTGCGGTCCCAGCTAACTGGGGAGGCTGTGACAGGAGGATTGCTTGAGTCTGGGAGGTTGAGGCTGCAGTGGGCTGTGATTGTGCCATTGCACTCCAGCCTGGGTGACAGAGTAAACAAACAATGCTAAGATAATTTAAGCTTCATATAGAATTGAGCAATAATTTATTTTATTTTAATCTCTGTGAGTAAAAAACAGCAGTGCTTTATTTCCTACTCAATTCCTTCTTTGATGACTGTGTGTTTTAGAAACTACTCAAATGTATTTACTAAATTTTCGGTAAAGAATTGCATATAAGTAGTTTTCTATAGCACAATTTTG